GTGCGCCGGTTTTGGTTGCTGGCTTTTGGCTGCCCAGTTGGATAAAAGCACAGAATGAAGACTGGAATATTGAGAGCAAATTCAGGGGAACATAGAGAATTCATACAGATTGAGGTTGCAAGAATAATGAGTAGATGCATGAGCGCCACTGTTTGTGACAACCAGTCATATCACTCAGTATCTCTAACCACCAGTGACCGTGATCTCGGGGTCCCAATCCAGGGATCTATGAGACCCTGTGTGTTGGTTAGGGTTTTCATACCCTTTTAGTTTGACCACCGTTAACTTTTTTCCATCCGTTATTTGCCTCGGCAAAAATCGCTCGCAGTGGTAACCTATCTGGTGACATGCGCATTACATGTCCCAACCAGCGTAATCTACGGAAGTTGACCACTTGTTCCAGTGGACGACCGAAATTACCTAAACTTTACGCCTAACCTCAGCATTGCTCGTCCGCTTTCCCCACCAGACTAGCGCAATGCGACGTAGACAGCGATGTTCGAACATCGATATGATATTTTTATCCTGCACCCGTAATCGCCAATTTTGCACTGTAGAGCAGAACTGGCCTAACTGCTGCAGCATACATCCAACTCTTCGCANCGCAGATAGCCGGATATCGTGAAGCTACAGATGTCTGAAGTTGGCAAATGCCAATCGAGCCTTTTACATGCGTGGCAACACTTCACCGATTGCACGCACACAATCAAACCGTGGAATTAGTTGCTTTTTGTTAGGAAAACCAAAGAATAAGGTTTACGCCCAAGTGTTGAATTTTTAACCAACTCATTTTGACCAACCACCGGAAAAAGTCGAGGGCACATGACTGGGACACGAACAAGATGATACAAACTATCCAGACAAGTAGAATAAAAAACTACCATTGCCCAGTGAAGTTGTGGTTTTACAGACACAAACCGATCCAGACAAACGAACGAACGAACAAAACCGAGATCGTAACGGATGAACGGACACATTCGATCGGTTAGCTTTTAGACCAACCGCTACGAGAAGTTGTGGTACACTGGTCGACCGAAGACTAATGAGAAAACAACACACTCACAGGCAGACACACGTGTGGAACACCATAATCTAGCGACAAGACCGATGCACTGCACAGGGATAAACGGAGTGTGTTGTACGTGATGAACCAGAAACAGGGCAGTATCGTGCAAGAGTAAGCAATGGAACTGGTAAATGATGTGGTGTGAGATGGCTATAACGTACCCGAGCCCAGGGCACAAAATGACCTCATAATATCTGGATCGAGGGGGGGGGCTAACTATGTGGGTAGGGAGACTCAAAATGTAAGAGCACGCTGCTTACAATGTGCGAATGAGATTGCGAGCTGAACAGGTGGTGGTGACCTTGGAAGTAACGTCACCAAATTATCACCCCGAGAATGTGTTCGAAACCCACCACCAGCGCCTGATTTCAACCATTGTATCGACTGAATGGCAGCCCTTTGATTGGTCGCTTCCTCCTCCCTGAAAATTGTACTTTGTACGCTCAATAAAAGGAAGTAAAATGAAAAATGGGTGGATGAAGTTAACTGAGGGAGACAAAACATGTACCAGGTAAAATCTATTCGTCTTACCGGTCAGATGTAACTTAGGTAAAGATATCTTGTGTACTATGACATTCGGGACTGCGATGGGCATCAGTGCTGTCGGCCTACTCGCGACTTTTACCAAGGTTACACTCAAAACCGCAGATCTGATATTGTCAGTCCGCGAAATAGAATTAAAGGTCAAAGTGAGCATACAGATTGACCAATCCGTTGTTTGATGCATAACAGTGTGCATTAGAAACATGGACTCTACGTGTTTTTTTAAATATTGAATCATAGTATTGATTCATACACGGAGTGATTCTAACATGGTTATTCAATCTAATTCGCCCAATGTTGCCAATGAGATATTTGTGTCGAAAATACACTTGGGGTACGAGTATATGAATGAAATGGCAAAAGATTACAGGATATGGAGCAACAACCGCGAAAACATGCATATGCTTCCCGGTAAATATTGTCCAGCTATTCACGTACTACTTATTACAAATACGTGTGTATACCTTTGTAATGAGGTCAAGCACGCCCTGGATATTCGTGTGATCAGGCCTAGAAATACGATGCACTTATGCAGCTCCGATTCACATCGATTTAAAGTGGTGTGCGACTTGGTGTGCAGGTAGACCTATGTGAAACAATGAACGTCCCCAGCACGCAAACCACTCGAATCCCCTCGAGTTGTTTATTGGCCGGGTTGTTTTTCGGAGCGCTTGGATAAACGGGATCGGTCGGAAGATACATCACACAGCAATGATGAAAAAGTACACATCACCAGATCCAGAAACCGTTGGAAAGCTCGACTAAAAGATTGATGACGGTTTTACACTAAAACACAGAACGAACTCCAACTGGGTGTGGAAAAGTGCTCGCCTCCCTGAAAGAAACCGTGTTCCCAGTGCTGAATACTTTAGTGTCCATTTATGCAGCACGTAAACGGTTGCGCTGAGCGCAGTCTGTGTGTACCAGCGTTTCTAGCAAGCAAACAAAGTTCAATCGGTACGATAAAGTTCTTCTGATGTGCACGAGTGAGTTCCGTCATCAATAACCAATCAGGCACACGGAGTTGGTTTTGTTTTAATTATCTATCACACGTCGGCGTGAATCAGTTCGGCTATTTTGTTTCAACAGAGATAGATGCGAGAGAAAAAATCGTAATGATTCCAGTCAAATCCGACCGGAAAAAAAACAATCGCCAAACTTCCAGTGATGTGTTCGTTCAAGAATACCACCCTACCATGGCATGACGTGACATGACCTTGCCTCCCCGCTTCCTCGATCACATTCATCACATCGTTCGGACCAGTTCATCTCCGAATCAAATTTTGTCATCTTACCTGACCTCAACCCCTAACCAAATACAAATCACTCAACTCACTTGTTCATCACCACTTTGTTCAAATGACTCATCTCAACTCTTATGCTTCTGCCAATATCAATTCTGCCCACATATGTCTTTCTGTGTTGATAAAATGGATAAAGGGAAAAGGATGTTTTACAAAAGAAAAAAAAGGTTTTCGCGGCCGCCGCTGGTCATAAAATGTTTCCCCTTTGTTGTTTGGTCCCCCGCCCCCAAAGAAAAAAATGAAAACCAACAACTGAAATCCGTATCACATAAACGGATAGTAAACCGATCAAATATTGCAATTTNAATTTCGAGATGGGAAACGTGCAGCCAGAATAGACTTAAACGCACACACGGTTAAAATACGGGCTGTGTTAGAACAACGCACAAAAACATGCGATTATTTTATCCTCATCACCAGTTTCCGTCTAGCCTATCATCTTCAGCAACAACTTATTGATTGATTTAGCCCACCAAATGATAACTACTTTTCACTGTGAAACATACTAACCTAAGGCCTCGTGTTCGAACGTATCAGATAGATTAAATCAATAATAATGATCGTTACTGGATTCGAAAGTCCGAACGTGACTGACAGTGGGGATGAGAACCGGTATTCACTGAGGAAGGACCTCACAAGTAAACCCACTCCAAAGGCGTTTAAGAGAGAACGCTCGGTTGAGAAACGCAATCGGAAATTTAGTGCAGTCTACTGACGGTGTGCTTGCTCCTTAACAGGGTACACACGATGCACGCAATGTTTGACGAACTCAAAATTTTTTGTAATATCTCGGGCACAAGATTCTTTGGAATCAGGGAATTTGTTATGCTTACGCTAACCATCAAGCCCAAAATGTCCCATAACTACCGGTCCAGTTCATCAAGCATTCAAACTTTGTCGGGCCTAACAACCTTTAATGTTGTTTGCAAGTTAGAAAATCGCGATAGTGACTAATTTGCTTCGCCTGAGACACTGCTGCAGCGAGCTAGTTCCGGGCCTTTGCCTACTAAGCTACTAGCTTACTGAAAGTTGAGAACCCTGGACTTACAAAAAAGAGATGTACGATCTAACCTCGGAGAAATGCTAGAAACAAGGATCAACGGTTTTGACGAAGAATTGAAAATCGGTTCTCGTAGCTCGGGTGAACTGAATTTTATTTCACTTGATCTCCGAGCTTGGCAATTTCGTGGCAAACGTTTCATCCTCAGCCGAGGGGAGATCGTCAGTGCTTGTCATCTCGGCTGATGATGAAACGTTTACGAAGCTCGGCGAACAGGCGAATCGGAACCAACGATTTTATTAGATACCAAGATCTATTGGCCGCCCACTAAGAGACAATACATCCCCCAAAACCATCTTTTTGCCCTTTCGGTTGGTCTGCAGTCGAAAGCCAAGCAGTTTTACTTACTACGACTGATGTGCTTCATAACCCTAAGGTCTGAGGTTCAAACTCTGTTACCACTAGCCAAGCATGGTATAAGATCACGTCTGATACATTGGAGGTTTTGTGCTAGTAGCTCCGCTGAAACCAAGGCTTTCAGGCGTGAAGGGGATTTACCACTACCATTTTTTGTATCAATCTAATGAACTGTTTTTTTCTAATACTGAAAACCATGTAGTTCCAAAAACCACAAACACTTTACAGATTTGTTAATTCAACTCCGCATTATAACCGCTTCACATTATTTTACATATTAAAAATGACATCACGGCAAACAGCAAGCATGTCTGGATTTCGTCTATTCGATTGCAAAATAGATTCGTCTGATGCGACAGCTCTGATGAGGAGAATATTAGTGATGTAGAGATGACCGAGGAGGTAAAAAAACAATGAATACCAAATCAGGCGCGTCAGATTAAACTGCATGGGGATGGGATCGGTAAGACGTGTACTGCTTATGCATCGAAAAAGGTGCAACGTAAACGTCGTGGGGACAGCAATACCGTATTTGCTTTATCACTTTTTGATATCGATTCCCCTATTTCTATGGGTTGTACCGAATTCTCAGTTGTCTGATAGGTACGTCCGATAGTTTGCTAAATGATGGCTGATGATTGCACGATTGACCGAACTAAACAATTGGACATTACGGAAGATCTACGTGGGAGTTGAAATCACGGTCCTGGATGTGATTTTGGAGTGGGAAAGGAGGGCAAAGTGAGCAGGATGGGGCACTGATACCACCCACATGGTCAATCGAGGTTACCATCCATACAGCCGTAGAATGGGTGCGTAAGAGCCGATCCAACAAATCACCAGATCACTACCGTTTAGTTTTGGGGGGAATGATTGAAGCCAACGACAAAGAAACGCATTCCAGGCTGCATGGAATAGCATTGGGAGAAAAACGAATATTGAGGGGGGTATTTGAAAAATCAGGCATAAGCTGTCCTCAAAACAGTGACCAGACAAAAGCGATCGATGAAGAAGCAAAGGAAAGAATAACCGGAACTAATATACCCACCACATCTACTAGGACAAATAAAAATCACTTATGGTAACAAATAAAGATATTAAAAGGGAAAGTGAGAGGCGGGAGAACGAGCACCTCGTAATTGTCCGGAAGTAAAGAAAAAAAGTAGTGGAGCATGTGTGGATGACAATTAATCGGTTGTGTAGGTGTTTGCAGATTAATCACTTCAGGGATTAAACAAGACTGTTCTGTGTATTCATCTAACAAACAGAGAGAAACAGAAACAATACTCACTCTGACAAGGTCTTCGGACAATTCCGTTTGATCATCATAGTCCAGCATAGTTCGAACAAATGTCTTCTCATCTGCCAGTCCGAAACTCTGACCCTTAGCATTGGCATTATGGAGTGTGGTGTTGAGCAGGATCACCGCATAAGCCAAAACGTAAGCCTCATCTAAAACCCGTGCGTGAAAACGGGGAATCGGAAGAAAAAGTGAGAATGGTACTTGGAGGATTCAAAAAGTAGATCAATCATAAAAACATATTCACTCGGAAAAATTTAAGCCCTGTGTGCATAGCTGATCATTCAAAAAAGGGTGTTCCACAGTTTATGTTTGGGTCCGTAATTCCCTAGACCATTTTCTCACTCTCCCACCATTACCGTGAATAAAAAACGTATACGGATAAAAGGAAGTTAACTGGATAGTTGTATCAGGATGGGCTTTGATCACGAATACACAAAAGTTTGATTTAACCAACTAAAACAATGAAACTAGATTGATGGGAAAGCTGATTGGTCTGAAGCATAAATCCCTGCGAAATCCTTCAGTTTGAGGGGAGGAACAACGCACTGCGGACAAACACCCATAAGCAAAAACAGATATAAAGAATTCAACTGTTCAGTTGTTCCATCAGTCATCAAGCTGAATATGCTGAATGTAAAATGTTGAATCAGTGATCCCGGGGACACAAAAATGACTGTCCCTAGAATGTCTTATCACCACCTTCTGTGGTGTAGTGAACGCAATGATGCACACATGCGTATACTGCACAGTGAGATATAGACTGTGTGAGCGTGTCTGAGCATCGGAGTTCAGGCTACAGAAAACGCTAGTTGTACCTTGGAAAATGTGTCCTGAAATTACACATGCTGAAATGACGACGACGACAGAGATGAAGTCAACAGGACAGATGAAAGGACCAGCAATATCGATCTTTTGCACAATCACCAGCTCAGCATCCTGAGCTGTTTCGTGCTGAACATTCAATGAGGTGAACAGCCATGGCGAAACGAGGACTGATTGACTGGTTACACCACCACCACCACTGTTCTGATGACACGAGCTCGACCGGCGACAAAACATTAATAGAAAGTTGTTCCCTCAAGCATAGCACAAATCGGAACTAGGACTCAGTAGCACAGAATGCATTGTCCTCGTGTACCGTTTACCCTGAATCCAACGAACTAGTATGACAACCCAATTATTTTTTGGTATACAAGTACCACAGTGT